ATAACGTACCTTCTTGGAGCCTTCTTTATAAGTAATTTAATGTTAATTGCTTTGATGGGATTTCTTTTTACTTGATTGGCAGCTAGGGCTCATCATTTTACAGTTGAAATTGCAAAAAGGTTTTTTTTTTACTAACATTTTCTTCTTTCTTATTTGTGGAACTATTCTTACTTTCCAGTCAACATTGATTTCCAAAAATTTCAATTCAATGTCAATTGTTATCTTCTGTCTTCTTAATTCCTCTTCTTTTATTGTTCACTCTCCTTAATAAGGTTTTCTCATATTCTCTTAAACTCAGTAACCCCTTGCGATTTAGTGACTTTATTGCCTTGTTTTTGGGGTGTGTGTAAACTGAATTAAAAAAAGCCTACACGATGCCTCAAGATATCGGATTTTATTATCAAACACCATTTATATTCTAATAAGAAAATAAATCTGACATAACTCCCTTCACTTTTCCTTCTTTTAAATTCTTTTCTCTAACTGTACAGCAGTCGAATATATTTACATAGAGTCCAGACAACTCAACCAATTTAAATGATGCAATATCAATTTCATTGCAAATATTTCTGTGTTTTACAGACTGTAGTATGTCCAGCGTATATTTTCTAGATAGAAAAAAAAACAATGCTTGAAAATATAATGAAAACACGAAAATACGAAACTGTTTCACTTCTGCTTCCGAATCAAGTGAAAATTATGCTTTCGAAAACCTTCTAAAGTAATTTTTAAAATATTTTTACTCAAAAACAATGCTACACACTTGAAGTATGTTGTAGAATAGAACGTCATGATAACAGCATCGGCCATCCAAGTGAGGTGTTTAGTTGTCTGAAGAAAGCTTAGGCTTTTTATAGCGATTTAGTTTCTATTTGTTTTTGTCTTCATGAAAGCGAAAAGAGTTGATTTTTATCGTTTCAGTGTGGATGCAGACCCCACACACCCAAAAATAAAACGATTCCTCAACAAAAAATAGATAAAAAAGATTAAGGGATGTCGAAATCTAATCTCGTTTTGCCATTCATTTCTATGATCTTATCGGTCAGTTTCTCGCATGAATCCTTTTTCGCTTTTTGTTTTTACTGCTGCAGCAAGTTGTCGCCAAAGTTTGAAAATTTACAAACGGCTATGTTAAATTATATTAAGTTTTAATTATAAATGTTTGAATGCAATTCTTTTGGGAAGAATTATATTGTTAATTATTACTTAAAAAATATAAACAGAAAAACTGCTGTCTTATTTATAAAAGCTATACTAATGTCACAAGATTGGTTTGGTTTTCTTTGTTTAGCGTCATATCAACACCTCTATTTTATTTAATGCCGAAATCTAAATATTTTGAACACAATTTTAATTTTTATCTTTTATTTTTAGGTAATAATAGTCTTAGTGACACAAGTTTTAATAATTAACCTATAGTTTGGATAGAAGAAATAGATTCATATCTTTCCTAAATATATTTACGCGTAAGTGAATTTAATGAACCCAACTCGGAATTGGAACTCGGCTCTCCGATAAAAAATATTCCAAGCCATTATCCATTGCACCACCCGCAAGTCCAAGCTTACAGCACCTGGTATTTCATTTAGTGACCAGGTTTAGCGTTGCTTAACTTCGATTATCGTATGGGTATTGGTTTTTCAATGTGATATGGCCGTAAGCCTAGTATCAGAAGAATGACTAAATGCTATTTCTCTCGAAAACGCATCGAAATTGAATTTTATTCTTGAGAATTAAAAAAAAAATCAAAATAAAGACAGATCAATCTATTGAAAATGAGATGTAATTTGAATAGATAAAACAAAGCCTATTATAGCTATGGCTATTCGATCTGATCGTAAGTTAGCTAGGAAATGAGTGGGTATATAGACAAGTGTTTTCGCCTTGCTTGAGATGATCCATTGAAACTCACGGTCTTTGCCATCGTAGTGGGATCACTGAAATCGGCCCCAGAGACTACTGCTAAAATATTGAAACAGCTAAAGATTCGAGGATACATTTGAGACGATATAAATGTACAACACTAATAATCACAATACGTTATTGAGAAGTGTGTGTGAGTGTGTGAGAGGCAGATTGGAGAATTGTTGTCATTTGATACCCAATAATTGTCACCTGATTTCTATGGTGTGATAATGATGATAATAATAATAATAATAATATAGAGCATTTGGAACGGTTTCTAATTGCGTGTCAAAAGAAATCTAACTAGAGATCCGAAGAAGAATTAAAAACCAATTCAACTGGCAGAATTGATGAGAACAACTGGAATACCGCGGAAAGTGCTGCTGCATTTAGAACATTTACTATCACCCACTCTCCAGTGTTAACCTTGAAGCAACTTACAGGAACAGGAATAATCTTCGTATAATCATAATAATTACTAAGCTAGACCAAATATAGAGAACGGAGACATAGTAATAGTAATTGCTAATGTTAGCCGTTTCCTTATAAGGAAACATTTGACATTCATTGATTGAGTAGCCCGTGCTAATGTCTGTTGAAATTTATAAATCTCAAGTCCAAGTAGCTATTAACGCTAGTTCCAGCATTGATGGAGGTTTCCTTGCTAACTTTTAGTTTGAAGTAGTGTGGAACATCAACATCTTGATTATGTCATCATTATCTCTTTGAGTTACATGTGATATCCATTTTAGTAGTTACTGCTGTTGAAAGTCTTCATTTGTAGATGTTTGTGTTATCTGTTATTTAACGCCATTTCACATGGTTCAAAGAAGGGTGGTCCTCTCTAATACCTACAGGATTCATTAGCTTATTTATTATTTACAATATTTCCTATCACCCAGTCTACAGTGATAACCTTGTGTGAACAGGAATAATTTTTGTATAATAATCGTAGTTACGAAGCTAGACCAAATATGGAAAAAGAAGGCAACGGTAATTATATTGGCAATATTAGCCGTTTCCTTATAAGGAAACATTCGGCATTCATTCATTGAATAGCTAGTGTTAATGTCGGTTGAAATTTATAAATCTCAAGTCCAGTAGCTGTTATCGCTATTTGTAGCATTTATAGCGGTTTCCTTCCTAACCTTTTGTTTGAAGTAATGTGGAAAGTCAACATATTGATTATGTGATTATTTTCTCTTCGAATTACGTGGGCTATTCATTTTAGTTGTTACTGCTGTTGAAAGTCTTCATGTAGAGTGGTTTCTGTTATTTGTTACTTAGCGAAATTCCAAAAGGTTCAAAGAAGGATGGTCCCCGCTAACACCTACAGACTCCATTACCTCGAAGTCATTTTTAATCATTGATTTTAGAGAGCGGTTGCATATAGGTAACAATTTTGATACACGTGAACGAATTTGACGCCCTGCACGACATTCATATGAAAGTCTTGATCTGACGAGGCTATTTAAGAACATGACTCTAGGAAGATTGTTTTCCGCCAATATTCTGAATAGGGAAGGGCCAGGTCGAACAATAATCTCTGGTGTCCAACTATCTCAGTAGATCAGCCTCGAAATAGATAAATCTACCTACGTCCGCCACAAGGCCACGATAACTGAGAACTGTCAAAATTAGAAATATGTAACATACGACAATCACAGGATAATACTTTTAAAAAAGAAGATACTGGTGCTCTCTAGAAGACACTGTCCTTGTGCCCGTCCGCAGAACAAATCAATATCTAGAAGTATGTTATAATAATAAGTAGAGGATCGAATAGTCTTTTTTTTCTAAGTGCCGTGTCCTTTTAGGACGTAAGAGATAATGTCTCTCCGCAGTTTCCTATCCTTTGTAACTCACAGCAACGTTTGCTCCTTTGCCAAGCCTCCCGTCTCCACGTTTTGCCCTCTTCACTCTTCTTTTGTCTCTCTTGTCCACCATATGCCTTGTGGGTGTCAAATTCTCTAAGCACCCTTTCTCATTATATGTCCAATCAATTCCAGCAGTCTCTTTCTGAATTTGAGTAGAAGTGTCCTTTTTGTTTCCATTCTCCATAAGACTTCTTCATCTCTTCTTACATTCTTCTCTTCATCTGAGAGGAGGATGTCCAGCAATCATTGCCATAAAGGAGGGTCGATATTACATGATCAAATATGACAATATCTAAATCCTTTTTCTTTTTCTTCAGCACGTAGGTGAACACGGTTCTGCGAAGATTTCGTTTTCTTTATTTTCTGTGATTTGCTGTGACCTCTTGAAATAAAAAAGATAGTAGATTGATTTCCTGTGACCATGTGAATTCAAAATTTTTCTTTTCTTAGACGGGTTGCCATTCAAAACTAGAGAGTTAAGGCTATCCTACAATTTAACCCCTACCTGGCGGGGTGAAGGTGACCCGATGAATCCATGCCTTTCTCAAGGGGATTTGTGTAAAAGTTGACGCTATAGGACGATATACGTTACGCTACGCCTATTTTACATAGTTAATAATTAAACAAAAATTGTGGTGATCGTATCAATAATCATTAGAATCCTTGGAACGGACACTTACAAAAAACAATGAAAGTGTTGAAAACCTGCAGGGAAATGAGAACTATTATGACTAGAATACTGCGGAAAGTGTGGGAGACATGCTGTCACTTGATCTCAAAACGAAACCCTCGAGATAACATTGTTGGGAAAGTCCAAACGGATGAATGGTTGATTGATTAGTTTTTTTGTTTTTTTTTCATACAGTTTATCAGCTTTTTACAGGTTATTTAAAGTCAGATAATGTTTTTATGCTGAATGAATTTTTTGAAGATAATTATTAACTGGTAAAAGTTAAGCTAATTAATCAATAGCTTGGGGAAGACTGGGTGGATTCATAACTTTGCGCGTAAGTGAATATAACGAACACAATTGGAATCGGAACTTGGCTCGTCAATTTTCAATTCAGACGGGTTATTCACTACACCACCCGCGCCTCCGAAGTTACAGCACCTAGTATTTCCAAACAGTCACCCATCTAGTCATTGATAAGGCTTGACGTTGCTTCACTTCGGTGATGTACAGGAATTGGAGTTTCAACGTGATATGGCCGTAAGCCGCTAAACTACAGGAATGGTATTAATACTGCATGAACAGCAGCAAGAAGAAGAAGAAGAAGACGGAAGAAGAGAAGACGAAAAAAAGAAGGAAAAAGAGAAGAACAAGAAGAAAAAAGAGGGGAAGAAGAAGGAAAAGATCAACAAGGAAGAAGAAGAAGAAGAAGAAGAAGAAGAAGAAGAAGACGGAAGAGGAGAAGACGAAGAAAAAGAAGGAAAAAGAGAAGAACAAGAAGAAAGAAGAGGAGGAGAAGAAGAAAAAGATCCACAAGGAAGAAGAAGAAGAAGAAGAAGAAGAAGAAGACGGAAGAGGAGAAGACGAAAAAAGAAGGAAAAAGAGAACAAGAAGAAAGAAGAGGAGAAGAAGAAGAAAAAGATCAACAAGGAAGAAGAAGGAGAAGAAGAAGAAGAAGAAGAAAAAGAAGAAGAAGAAGACAGAAGAGGAGAAGACGAAAAAAAGAAGGAAAAAGAGAAGAACAAGAAGAAAAAGAGGGGAAGAAGAAGAAAAAGATCAACAAGGAAGAGAAGAAGAAGAAGAAGGAAAAGGAGAACAACAAGAAGAAAATCGAAAGAAAAATTAAAGAGAAGAGGAAAGTGGAGGAGGAGGAGGTGAGAAAAATAGTAAGGAGGAGGTGAGAAAAATAGTAAGGAGGGAGACAGTAGGAGGGAAGAGAAAAAGAAGAAGAACACGAACATGAAAGAAGAGATGAAAAAGAAAAAAGAGGAGAACAAGATGAAGAAAAAAGAAAAAATAAAGCTGAAGAAGAAGAAGAAGAAGGAGAAGAAGAAGGAGAAGGATAAATAATAATTTAAATAATTCTAATATAAATAATGCTAATACGTACAGACAAAAGACAAACGGGACGGACATTCTTGTTAAAAAAATAAATAAAATATATTAAAAAAAAACAAAAAAAAAACTGATGAGATGGATTCTTTAGGGAATGCAGTAACTGAATAATTTATTTATTTATTTCAGCAATGCCTGAATCCACATTCTGAGACATTTTAGTTTCCTGAATAATTTTCTGTTTAGAATTCCCGATTGTGTTTTTTTAACGCATCTCTTCGCTGCTGTTACGGCAAGATAACACGTTTGAAACAGGCTGATCGTTCTTACTTTGTTGCTTGTTCGACTAACAGCAACAGTAGCATTAAAAAAAAACCCTGTTTAAACAGAATTTTTTTATAGGTTTTCAATATAAGAAAATCATTTCGTGAGCATATCTAAAGACAAAATTTATGGCGGATGACATATTAAATGTGCCGTTGAAGATGCATTGTAGTCGTTTGAAAACAAACGGACGAATGGATCTGTCTGTTAATACATGTGACTTGCCATTTTTTTTTGAGCTGATTCTATCTTTTTCATTTGCCACACTTTTGTTGTAAAAATGCATTTAGAGCTGATGATGATAACAGAGAGGATGGTGAAATAGATTTACTTGAAAGTCTTACAATTTGAAAGATAATTTTATTGTGTCTTTAGGCGCGGATAAATCTTCCGTAAGTGCAAATTCTTAAAATGAATAAACGAATTGTGCATTTAAGCAGTTGTGTTAGTTAATATATCTCTACATCTATAGCTATATATCTCTATATCTATAGGTATATATACACATCTATCTATCTATCTATCTATCTATCTATCTATCTATCTATCTATCTATCTATCTATCTATCTATCCGTGTGTGTATGTGTGTTTGACGAATATACTAGATAGGTAAGCATATGATTACAAGTATTGCGTGCCGAATGGGGAACATTACTGCTGTAATGTGGTATTGGCAAAAAAGCTTACTAATCATTGCTCTACAGTAAGAACACATATCCACCCATATCTATCTATCTATCTATCTATCTATCTATCTATCTATCTATCTATACATACATATATATATATATATATATATATATATATATATATATATATATATATATATATATATACACAAATGTTAAAACAGTAAGAGGTATTTCATATATATATATATATATATATATATATATATATATATATATATATATATATGTGTGTGTGTGTGTGTGTGTGTGTTTGTGTGTGAAAGACATTTCTTCAAACACTGTAACATCCTATATATATATATATATATATATATATATATATATATATATATATATATATATATATATATATATATATATGTATATCTGTATGTGAGTTAGATGTAAATAAGGTGACTACCATATATGGAATCCAAAATACATAGTATATGAACAAAATGCTCAAATGATGAAGTATGAAGGAAAATAGAAACCAAATGGAAAGAGGGCTTGGGGAATATGACACTCAAAGGGAATAATATTTTTTTGTTTCTCTCCTAAACCTTGTTCCATTATCCATTTGCTCAAGCTCGCTAGGTTGGTTGTTCCCCCCTCTCTCTTGCTTCAATTTGCCCTGTGAGCATCATATTTTCCAAGCCTTCTTTCCTCATTAAGTGAACCAGGAATTTCAACTGTCTCTTTCTGGTGTTAAGTATAAGTGTCCTATTTGTTTTCATTTTTTCTAAAACTTTGTTCTCATGTCCGGACCATGGTATTCTCAGCATTCTTCTGTAGAACCACATTTCTGTTGCTCAGTACGGCACATAAAACAAGGAAATACACTTAGATATCATTGGCTTGACCTCTCGAAATTGTTTGCTCAGTTCCCAGTAATTTACCCTTCCTACCCAATCATGTCTATTCTTAACGCCTGAGTTAATATATTATCTTCACTTATTTTATGGTCGTTTCATCAGCGTTCGTGACCTTCACTAGCGCCTCAAATACTCTTGGGAAAGCTATGAATCTATCTTTTCTCTCCTCAGCTATAGGTTAAATAACAGGGCCAAAAGGGCTGTTTTGCATTGATGTGGCAACCAGTCTAGGAGGAGGAAAATTAAAAGCCAGCCTGAAGAGGAATGGGTTCTTTTAGGCTATTTTGCTTAGAGGCACCACCTCTGCAGTGCCGCAACGTTTCTAATGGTTTATGACATTCGTAACGTGGCGTTTATTTTTGTCAAGTATTTTTTCTGTTTAAAAGTTGAAACATCCCTTCTGATGCAGGTGTTGCTGTTGAAGACTGCCTTTGCACTGAAACAATTGCATGTCTTTTGAGATTACCTTAGCGATAACGAGAGGTAATATCTCTATGAACAGTGTACAGTAAGGATTTCGTTTAGGAGGATTTTCATTACATCTTGAATATATTCAAGTTTTGGCGTCACCAATTGAGATCAATCGAAATGAGAATCCAGACAAAAAACTCTTTAATATCTTTTCTTCATCGTTAGCCTATCGATTAGGTTTTTATTGTCTTCACTGCATCGCTTCATGTGAACAAATGACAGATGGCAAAGCGGTTAGAATTGAGGGACCCAAGGAGCAAGGGAAGAGACAAAGTAATCAACTGTAAACTTAATTAAAAAAAACATTCTGTCACCGTGAGAAAAACAGAGTCACCACGGAGAAACACACACTCACACACAGGCGCGCGCATATAAACTCATACAGATGCAGAGACACAACTACAGATACACATACCTGTGCAGCTAACACACGGAAACACACATGCACAAAAATATAAGCACTGAAATATAAGTAGTGAAAATACAGTTACAGGATACACACAAGGAAAGACATACCTACATACACAAGCAGAGATGAACATACGAATTATCACACATAGATACTCAAATAACGAAGCCAGACACACACACACACACACACACACACAAAGAAAATGTAAACATAGAAAGCTCACACACGCACACACAGAAAGATACGCAATGAGTAAGCGACACACACTCTGTGAAAAAGTAAAGCAAAATAGCTCTTAGAGTCATTGAAAAAAGAATGGAATCATTTATCAAACTTATACTTTGAGAAACTTTTACAAAGAATGCCAAAAATTTGTACTACAGAAATCAAGGCCAAAGGAGGATATTGTGACGAGAGCAAAATTTGATCATAAAATGCTTCTTTTTTCTTTTTGTCATAATAAAATTTCTAATAAAAAAAAATCATGTCTCACTTTTTTTTAAAACAAGAATAGTATTATAGGATGCCTGCGTACGATACTGGGTATGTCTCTATTCCCATAAATATAGTAGTAAATACTGTATGATGTTCGGCATTTGGAGATTCGTCTCCAGATGTGCTGGTCAAACTCTCTGCCTCTGGGCAGAGAGGATCCCCAGACGAAGGGCAGAGTCTCGTCTCGGAAAACAGCTACCCGACCCCTGTTTTATACGAGGTCTACGGGGAATTTTTGGCCGAGCCTACGGGCTCGTATACCCCGCATTAAATTCGGCCTTGTGCCACATCTGACCGCGTGGGGCCGTTGGTAGATATCCTGCAGTTGGAGATTCATTGTGAAATTCACTTGACTCACTTCTAGCAGCTGACTACTATTTCTACGCGTCGCTGTCGAATCTTATATGTGTTGTTCTTGTCCTAAGTATTATCGTTTATTACCAACCTTCGTTTGATTATTCTATTCAGTAATCTTCCCTAGGTTACAACATATAACATATCGATTGGGTTCTAGTCTTCACTGCATCGCTTCATGTGAACAAATGACAGGTGGCAAAGTGGTTAGAATCGAGGGACCCAAGGAGCAAGGGAAGAGACAAAGTAATCAGCTGTAAACTTTAAACACAGACACACATGCTTTTCTCTTATTTAAAGTACAAAACAACTATTTGGGGGATAATTTAAAAAATTACCAGAGATAACCTCAGATTTTTCAACCCTAGTTTATATGTGTGTGTGTCTCTGTGTGTGTGATATGAGATTTTACCTCTTAATGAAAAATATTTACAAATGACTATTTTCAGGCAACATTGACATAGCATGTTAAAGTATATCTGACTAATGTAAAGTTGCATTCATGCTAGATGCACTTTGAATATTCGGGGGATTTTGCTGAGTAATAAGTAATAAAAATAAATAATTAGATAAGTTGATCTGATTTATTAGCTTCATTTAATATGCGTGAAATACTCGACTGTTTTACGGAAGATCTCTGAAATTTTACAGTAACACAAAAGACGAATATAAAGGGCAAATTTTTGCTTTCATATTACATTTTTCTGTGAAGGAGGTCCTCAATGGGTCCCTATCATTTACAAATTTTCCCAAGAATTCAAGGACATTTTGATCCATCATCAAAGATGCTGGAAAAATGGTCGGTTTCCTGTAAAAAAATTTGAAAGTATTGACTCTTCTTATTTACTTGTACTTGTCAGGCATTTACCCAAGACGGGTTGATATGGCTCCAATATTGGAGTTTCATTTAGGCAGAAAAACCTGAAAGCGGTCCCCAACTTGCATGTATAGCATACAAGATTTGATTATAGTGGTGAAGGTTTCGTGCAGGACCATTTTTTTATTTTTGAAAGCCGATTACAGAGACCTGGTGCACTACGTGCCAAAAAGGTCCCCAAACGACCCTAAGCAGGTTTTGAATTCAGAGTTTTTCTTCTCCTAGACCAGTTGCCATCCAAGGCTATAGAACCCAGTCTGTCCTGCTATTTACCCATAGCTGGAGGGAGAAGAAGAGGATTCATACCTTTTCAAAGGGTATTAGCACGTAAGTGAATATAATGGATTCGACTGGAATTCGAACTCGATTCTCCGATTCCTCAATCTAAGCCGCTAAAAATTATTCCACCGTATATATAACCTTATTTTTCAATTGCCATTTACATTTTGAAAGAGCCAGATCATAAAGAAAAGTAAATATGCTACGCAATATATGGGCAGAGGTTGCCAGTCTTCACTTCCCAATCACGATAGAGTCTAAAAGCGTCTCTGTGTCCTTGTGGGTAACGAATTATTTTCCATCCTACAACCCTTTTCCTCACAGACGAAACGTCGCAGGCCTCTCGCTGTTCGATCGCTGTTTCCATAGAAAGTGTTCAAGCGAAGTGCATTATGTTTTACCACTTGTTACCTTCATGGATAAGACCCGACATACCAAGGACATTGTAGCGAACCATCCTCATTGCCTTCGTATGCCATTGGCGAGACGTCATTTTCATTCGGACAGCTTCTTCCCCTGAACGGCTACTTTGTGGAACAGGATCCCAAGAGGATATTTCCCCGATCACTACAAACTTAAACTGTGCAAGTCTAGGGTTAACCGTAATCTTTCCCATGTATCCGCATAAACTGTTACTCTGTAAGCCTCTACCTCGAGTGGCTCTTGGGCCGTTTACAGGGTAATTATTATAAAAAAGCGTTTGGTCACATGAGAGGTAATTATTTGGTTCGTTGCTATAAGCTATACGGTTCAATTAATTTAATGCTAACTTTGTAAAAGTAATTTACTAAGCGTAGCTTAGATATGGCCCAAGGCCGAATGTATAGAGCACCCTGTGAAAATCGAACTAACTACTCAGTCGTAACTGATCTGGCCTGACAAGCTTGTTAACCATTACACCACGCCGAAATGCCCATAGGGACTTTATAATAAATCAGAACTTTTCGTTTGATATGAATTTCAAATAAATGATCTAAGGAAAAGACAGGAACTTGTTGTGAGTCATGAAAATATCCACATCCTGAAAGGAAGTCACATATCAAAGATAACCTACAGTAAAGTACAATGTGATTACACAATGTTATTCAAAACAAGTTTGGTATATGGCCACAATTATAGAGCATTTAATGAAGATCAAAATCCGAGGCCTGTGACTGGATCTGTTAGAAGAAATTCATAAGCATCTCTTTACTATAAACAGCCAATAGGTTATTTAACTAAATATGGTACACAGCTACAGTAGTTGAGTACCCAATGAGGATTGAATTCGTAACCCTTAAATGGTTGTTATAAGTAATGTCCTTATTATTAATCCATAACGAGTACCAAGAAAATCATTTTTGTTAAATTTAATATGTACAAGGCGACAGCAGTCGAGTACTCAGTAAGAGTCGAACTGACTTCTACATGGACCAATTGATCTAGCTGTCCTGATATTATTAAACTTAATTTGGCCAAAGTTGTGCGGGGCATTGTCAGGATCGAATTCACTGCCCCAACGAATTTGTCTCTCAGCACAACTTGTTGATTTCAACTGTACGGTGTTTTTTATGTAAATATTTAACTGGCACATAACCATAGTAAAATGACAGAACAGTGAGAATCGACTTTAAAATTAGTTTGTTTACAAGACAAGCGTCATCTTTATAGCGCTGCAGTAGGCGCCTTGGTGCTTACAGAATAACAAAAGTGTTCTTAGCGAACATGGAAATTTATGTTTTAATTTTGTTCTTTTCAGATTCTTTTATGTGAACCTCGTTTGCGTTCCTTCAAAAATCACTTTCCAATTTGTGTTGTATATGTAGGGGGGGGGTCTGATTTGGGTTTCAGTCCCCGCTGGGCACCTTTGTCATCCCTGGGAAATGTGCCTGGCGATACATATGGTGAAGGAAACTTGTGGTAAACCAAGCAAGCTTTGCCGAAGTATTCAACCGAATATAATTAATTTCGAGTA